TTAAACTGATGACCATCAAAAAAGGAAATATCCCTGTTAAAAAAAAAAAAACCGCAAGACCTTTTCGAGGGCTACTTCACGATAGGGTAAGGGTTGAAGATTCTTTCGTTCATTTTAACAACACATTAGAATCGGTTATTCATTTGAAGAAAATAATCAAAACCCATCAAGATATCACCCGAGGAAATACTGCTTTCTTTCCGTTATTTAGGCGGTGTTGTCTGAATGTGGATAATTGTTATCACCCAAGCAGGTGCATGCATATAAACAGGAATTAAGAAGTAAAAACAAGATATCCGAAACAGTTCTGTTTTTGTGGACACGTCCGTAGTTTTTCCTGCCGCGTGGACATTGTATATGTTGCAACTTTCCGAGCTAGTTCAAGTGAGATGGGTGTTATATTGAATAGTCAAGGTTTGGGCAAAATCATTCAACAATATAACAGACTTCTAGCTTGTACTTTACGATTCATACCTCTTACTAACCGAGTTCGCGGTCCGTACTGTAACTTACGTCTTCGATTTATAACTTAGACGAGTGTGTTTGACGGTGGGAATCCAGGCGTTTTGTGCGTGTCATTTTCCATTATGTTGCCTTATAAATTGTTCATTCGAGCAGGCTCTATAGCAGATTTTGGACGTCCACGGTTTCAAATCCTGGCTAAAAGCCTGGTTTGGGAACAGCTTCAAAGTTTAGCAGACCGTACTGAAGACTACAGCCCGCTTAATTGACCTATCACAGCGCGCGTAGTAAGTAATTAAGAGGTATAATAATTTAAAACATCCGAGTAAAAAAATGTACGTATAGGCGTATTACATGCTGGTATATATGGCTCCCAGACGGGAAATTTTTTTTGGTTGGTTTGTTTGTTTGTCTGTTTGCAAGAAACAATATCAACACTGGACAGGTCTCTTGCTCGTACTGTATAATTGTCTGTTTGAATGAGCATTTACTGTTAATCCTTACTCCAAATAACTGCTTCAGGTTGTAAGGATTAAAGGACTCCAGTTGCCGCTTTGAATAGCTTCACTTATACTTATTCATGACACTGGCAGTGAGCACCACTGGCAAAAATAAGTGAATATTTAAATCGAGAGCACTTTCCAAATGGCTCCTCGAGCGACATAATCATCGGATAGTCGAGGACCGGTGTCGACTTATGAATACGCATATTGTAAAAGATGAGTAAAACTTAAACTGAAGTTCTTTGCTTCATTATGCAGCAGCCTTTTTCCTGCGTCAGAACGGTTAGCTGAGGATGCGCTGACTAACCACTTTTTAACATCGTATCGCCTGGCTTCAGTTTTGAAAATATCTGTAAAAAAGTGACCTTATGCTTGGGAGATTCTGCTCGCACTATTTCCATCACAATTAAAAGCAATATCCTCACGGATCCAATTCCAATATTGCTTTACATCGAACAGTTTCGAAGCAATAAAACTTCGTAAACAACTACATGTAAGACCAGATTAAATCATGCCGTAAATTAATCACTTCAGTATAGGAGGTAAAATAATCAAAAACCGCGCGCATAATTTTGAGGATTGCGGGAAGTTCTAGAGTAAGAAACAAACTCGGACAGAGCTCTATTTCCATCACAATTAAATGCAATATCTTCACGGATCCAATTCCAATATTGCTTTACATCGAACAGTTTCGAAGCAATAAAACTTCGTAAACAACTACATGTAAGACCAGATTAAATCATGCTGTAAATTAATCACTTCAGTATAGGAGGTAAAATAATCAAAAACCGCGCGCATAATTTTGAGGATTGCGGGAAGTTCTAGAGTAAGAAACAAACTCAGACAGAGCCAGCCGGGTGTAATTATAAAGATTAATCCGATGAAACTGCTAATGCTCGTTCTTAGCCGTTCAGCCATAAAGGCTTGTTTCAATGTGGTTTCGGCGATCTCTATAAAATTAAAGTGAACCTAAAAAAAAGCACTTTTATACCTTTCACCATTAACCGAAAGAAGTGGGCCGGTGTAGTCTAGTACTAATAGTCACAAACGTAATAAAAGATGGCGCCAATTGGTTGACAAACCCTGACATGCGACACTTAGTTTTTCAGACCTACGATAAAAGAACCAAATGGGAGATTTAACAAGGCACAATTTCCTCCACACACACAACTGTTGAATTAAAAGGCCGAAAATCGTACCGTTCTAAAAGTACCGCTAATGCACGGTCAAAATTGAGTCAATCAAGAAAGCAGCCAGTATGCGAAGGAAGCAAAATGACGCCAGTAATTTGCGCAGCTTCAATCTTCTTAAATTTCCATTTAGCATGGAGCGTGGACAATCTCTCCTCCTGTGGCAGACAAAAGCAGACAGAAAGAGATGGAGAATGGGGATGAATTACATTCAAAACAGCGCCTGTCTGTCTCGCTGAGTATCGCATTACAGCAGGTGCATGCAACAGCTTCTTTTGTTTTCTATCGCGTGCTCTCTGCTCTGATTAAATTTTAACCGTTAGTAATCAAGTCGCTCGCTCAAAGGCTTTTGACCGAAGGGTAGCTATTGTCACGAGAACATATTTGAGGGTCGAAATCCGGCGAGAGAAAAAACGAACTGAAGAGTCACTTGTTCTTAAAAAGAGGAGTTTTAATACTTGAACAGTTTTGAAAGAACCTAGCTGGAAGGGGTGAGTGAGTGCACAAATTTACCGATATTTCTTTGACAAATTCGTTCTTTAAACACGAGAGACTCCTTTTAAATTTAATTTAACCTTAACCTAACTTTGCAAACAAACGTTTTAGCTGCAGCGGCTGTCTAGAAATTAAAACACGGAAATTTGCCGACTATCTAAATGACTTGCGGCAACCGTATGAAGAACTGTAGTTAAACCAAGTTAATTTTACCCTGTGTTTGCGACAAATTCAGAATTACTTAAATATTCACAAAAAATGCACATGCATTATCAAACTCACAGAAGGTGTGCAGCCAATTGTCGAACGAAACTTCCGCCGCCTTTACATCCGAGTGACCAGGCCCTGTAACCAGAATTGCACAGTAAGTGAAGACGAATTTGAAAAAGTCACGGAATGAAACGAAATTTCTCAACTAGTACTTACGATCTTTTTAGTAGTAGTGTGTCTTGTAGAAATATGATCCCGCTAAAGCCAATTGCGAGTGGAGACTAGACCTGGGTTCTGGTTCTATAGGCTCGACCGCTGAGTAGCGCAAATGCTCTACTGACAGCAAATCAACCGAGCGAATCGTCGTCTTTTTTTTGCGTTTTGCCAGAGGGTACATTGTACCAGCATAGAAAGTTACAATTTTTCAGGGCTTGTAAAGAGAGCCCCACTTTTTAACCCTGTTCAATCTTGTTCCGTTTTGCTGAACCATCTATTTACTCTTGGCGAACTAGAGATCAGCTAGTGAAAAACAGTGACGGACTGCTGAATGTGACCGCCAAAAAAAAAACAAACTTTCCTTTACTTTTCACTGCGCGTGCTTTGGCTTTTGCTTTTTTTCTGGTTTGTCGATTGTGAATTAAAGAGCCGAGTTTCATTCTTTGCCACACAATCGCCTAAAACAACAACGCAATCACCCAAACAGATATTTCCGTTCTACGATCTTCTCTGCCCACGCAATAATCGGTCTCTTTTAGCGAAAAGAAATTTCCATTTCTTTACAACTTTTAGTTACTTTTCGCTGGGTCCTTACAACTCACCGCAGCGCACGATTACTAGTAAACTCATTCGTCCACTGGCATTAAAGACGATGAACAACTTCTGACCTTGGTAAATTAAAAACCAGTGACCAGAAACCTGTTTGATCTATGCAATTCAGACAAGACTAAACATCACAGAGGCATTGTGTTACTAACAAATGAAGCTATTTTTGCAAGGCGTGTTTCTTTGTAATTGGTAATACGGAGGTGTTACGCACCGAGAGCAAAATGACCTGTGTAATTAATTCCAGAATACTGCACAGTAGGCGATGACTATTATATCCTATAGCTGATTAGTCCTCCGCGCGCGGTGCAAGCTGTATGTTATTTTCTAACATAACTTGATAAAGCGGCAACATGTAATCGGCAAGCAAACCGAGATAAAGTTGAACAGATAACAAAAATAATAAAATTGTTCTTTCTTGTCGTAACGCAAGGGCGGATCAATACAGATGACTTGAATAGAAAAAATAGCGGTATCCTGTTATACTACTCCCCACACATTGCGCCATTGTTAGATGTCGGTGTTACTTTGTAGCTAATTACCACAAGAGCCAATCAATTTTCTTCAAGACCACTTTTTCATAACTTTACAATTATGAACTAAATGTTAAAATATTAAGAATCGACGAGTCGCCACGCGCAATCTAGTAGGTATTTCACTTTATCTCCTTTTAACATTTCCAGGTGCATTCCCTTCAGTCCACACGTGTATGCAGTGTTTAGATTTCTCATGTTTGTCTTGGTGCTCTTTCGTCGGCTGGCTTGGGATATATCCAGTGTATTACTTTACGAAATCTCTACCCTAGCGGGTGGCAGAGCGGGAGGCATGTTGTCGAGCGCACGTTGCTCGAAGCATGCAGCCCATCATAAATTTTTGAGCCATGTTTACCGCTGTTTCTAAGTATACAAACGTTGTTCATTACCGTTCTTTTTCAAAAGGTTATCATTTGTTTTCTCGAGTATTAACTCATAATGGACCGATAAATGACTCCGATTGGTTAATTTTCTGGCATTGTTCCTTGCGCATAGAAAAGCTCTTCGAGACTTGACTTCCTTTACGCGGAGAAGTAAATGCCCTCAGCAGCAAGAACTTGTAGACAGGCATTTCCTCCCCGGGATGGGGGACTGAAGGAAAATAGTAGCATCCCGGGATTTTTCCACGGCTCTCAAGAAATCAAAGAGCGGTTACTTGTGGAGCGAAAGTGTGATGACACTCAGGAATGCGCACGGCGCATCTGATTGGATTATGCATTAATTACCGCAGAACAGTGTCAATCAACTGCTAAAAAAGAGTGTATTGATTTTGCCTTGTTCTACAGCGCAGTTGCACGTCTCGTAAGCCTAGTTGTCGTCGAGCGTTTTGTAAACCGTTGATCCTCTATGTCACAAGTGAAAAGTCTTTTAAGCTTTCTGGGCGAGACTCAAAGTTGTAGCGTAGCTGTTTGACTGAATAGGGTAGAAAGCGATGAAGAAGTCAATCATTTCGTCGGTAAGGGAGTGCGATTGCTTGTTAGGACTTGGTGTAGTTAGCGAAACTGAAGCGAGGGGTTCTCAACACTGACGGACTTTCCTTATGACTTTTAACAGAGCATGGTGGTTCATGATGAGGACAGCAGGAAAACCTGTAACAACTGCGGCGATTTGTGTCCAGGATTTTCTGCGCATTTATGGCGGTAAGTGCTAGATTGTTTCACTGCAGTAAGCAACAGGTTTTGAATTCAAGTAAAGAACGGTCGAGAGTTGTTTTGTTCCCAGCGTGAAGGTAGTACATACTGCTTTAGGAGCGACATCCAACACAACACAGATTTCCAAAGCCAACTACTTATAGTATGCCCTAAGGTGAAACAGGCATTTGCCTTCGGGACATTGTGCTTTGGAATTTTGTGTATCGAGAACTGGGACGCCACCAGGCTTCAACGTGTGGCTTTGTCCAAAAGATTAGATAGGTATTTGCGATACCGCTCCTCCGTAGCAAGGGTCAACGTGAAAGATACGTAGTTTCTAGTATTTCCTTGCAATTCCTGTGCTCCTATTTATTCGGTGTTCACTGTTTTAGCGGGGAGAAACTAAAAGAGATGACAGAATTCGTGTTGGTGAAATCAACAACAACAATAGTTGACCTAATTTTACGGCCTCTTAGGCTTTTGATTATCGTAATTGGCTTCAAAAGACTTCGGTTGTTGTGCATGCATTAGAGATGTTTCTTTTAACCGGAGCTGTGTACAGAAGGTGCGGATTGATTTCAAAGTTTATAAGCAAGCAAGAGGCTTTTTGTACAGTGGTGAGTCGATGCTTGAAGCACTCGTGCTTGTTTGTTTAGTATCGTTTGATCAATCACTGATTCGTCACAGCAGCGTGCCCACTCACTTGAGAGGCGCAGGGCCTGTTGCCTTGTTTTATGCATCGAGTTTATGTCAAACATAACGCGGAACGGAAAAATTGTTTAGAAATAAAGATGTTGTTTTCTTATTGTTAACCTCGCAGTTTTGTAGACACAACAGAGATTTTTGAAAGCTTTGCGGATAAGCGTCACCCATTTTCCGAATTCTAAAGCACTCGGAAGGAGGTTTAGCGGTGAACCGAACTGCCAATTGCCAATAACACGGGTGGGAACTTCGAGTATTTTGAACTTCTTAGACATGAATTCAGAATACTGAAAGTATTAAATTTATTATACACCGAAATTTGAAATCTGCTGGTGAGATTTTTCTTCTTTGTTCCGATGACGGAGTTAAACACTTGAATTATGAACACAAGTGAATACGCTCTTAATGAGCCTTGAATTTCGTTTAGTACTTCCTCGCCCGGAAACTGCTGCCACTGAGAAATACCATTCGTAATTCACGGTTGTCCCTTTGATGAGGCTAATCTGTAAACTCCACAGTCGCGGCGGAATTTTTCCCTCTGTATATGCCGCCATCATCGCTGTAGCAAAATCAATGCGTGCGCGCTAGAACGAAAGTGTTAATGCTGAGCTTTGCCCGTGAATTTTTTTTTTCTGTCTATACACGCGTTGAGTCGACGTTCCGAAAACAAATCAGTGCGCCAGCGCTTCCTTTACTGACAAAGACTTCTTATCCTCGCTGTTTCTTGGTACCGACATTTTTATTTCGGAAAAATGTCGCTCACACACATGGCTGGAAGCTGTTTTAGCGATTTTTTCGTCTTATCTTCGCAGTTTTCCTTAACTGACGATTGTAGTTTTTTTAATCTGTTTATTCTCGGATCTACAGTTGAAGGAAGATGTCGGATAAGACAAATACGGGTATCGTTTTCCCGGGCGAGAATCGTATCATCAACAACAGGTTTGACCCGCCTAATGGCCGTGGCAAATTCTCGCGATTCTGAAAATTTCTTTCCTCGCATTTTTTAGGTGAAAAATGTTCTGGTGAGAACACGCATGGCTATTTCACTTTCAGTGCCATTGCAAGTTTATTTGGACCGCACGAATTTGTTGCTATCATTACTAATATCTCGCTTTATCGACGTCTTTTTCTTCTAAGAGACATCCACATGAGATAGCAGTGTTTAAAATGTAATTATTAGAAATTGCTGGCTCCTTTTCATTTATTACAAAAAGAAATTTCTTAAGGTGACAATTTCCCAGTTCGTAGAAAATCAATAAGAACTATTGTTAGAAACAGTTTAAATGAATTGAAATTTACATTTGTATGTATAAGCTTTCCCTAAAGCAAAACCACGGTCGAAATGTTCTTGATTATAGCACAAAATCGATTTATATTCTGCTGAAGTTCTGTAATAGACAACCAACATATCCCAATTTTAACCACAAAACCCTTTCATTGAAAAAGCTTCACACTAAAAATAAGCATATTATTACGACGAGCTGTCGCCATGGCAGAGTTAATGAATTTTGTTGTAGTTCTAGTTCGAACATTTACATTAGAATGGCAGAACAAAGATTTCAATAAAATGATTTATTACATTGACAGAATAATCTGACGGAGGGTTTCTTTGTAATTTTTTTCTTTTTGCTTGGTGTGTGGTCTACGATTAAACAGAGTGTAAAATATAAAAAGCTGTGACAATAATCTTCAAATGTGTTGAACTTTTTATGGAATTAAACGAAATCTCCAAATCGGTTTTGCGTTTGAGTGAGCGTTTCTTCTCAAAATCGGCTTTGCCCTTAAGTAACCGATATCCTGAAAGTGTTTATTTTAAACGTCTTAGTCCATAGAGCAAGAAAAATATTGACAACTGTCGAGTTTTTAAAAGGAAGGACTCTAGCAGGCTGAATAAATTGGCGTCGTTTGGGATTTTCTTTGTCCGTCATGCGAGACATCTGTTGTATTTCCGAGGCTATTAAAGCTCTTTTATTTTAAATCAATTACCGGGTTTTATTGTTGTGAAGAACATAAATATATTTCTCTCTAAATCATCTATGTTTCTCTTTGTCCTATGGGGCTATTTACTGATGATTTTTTTGGTATATACGTGTAACAAAACCACCGTTTCATCGACTGGTTTGTAATAATTGTTTGACTTCTTTTCACTCTTATAATATACAAAAGACAGACAGCTTTACCATCTGTACAGGGATAGATCCCTACAGCTTTGCATCATTAACCCTTTTAAGAAAACCTACCAGAAAAAAAATTAGGTTGGCCCTTTTTTCTATTTCTTCTTTCAGCCTTAGCAGTTTTTAGTATTCTGTAAAATAGTAACATTTATTGCTTTTTTAGCTTGGGTTTTTTTTTTTGCGAACTTAAAACGCTTGAAACGTGCCAGAGGTTAACCTCTGCTAAAGCTATATGACAATGAAACAATTGATCTCAGAACTAAGAGAACATAGAGGTTAAGCTGTGAGTATAATGATGTCTAAGATCAAATATTATTTGTTGCATATAGGAAATTATCAACCTCTAGCCTCTGGTAGCTATGATATACCATACCAGGCCGAACAGGGATGTAATAGATAGTAATATTTTATGTCCTGCTGTGCTGTGTGCAACTATAATTTAGCCATTTCTAAGGCTTGCCCTAGCTTGTCGACTTCGTCAATTCAGCAAATTTCCTATTTGGAAGCTAATCAGTTGAACAGATGTTTTGCATTAGATTTATTCTGGTAGAAATCTTGGCAAAAATAGAACCAATATCTGTGCACTTGATAGCGACTTTGCTGCATCTCTTATAAGATATGTTCACACTTACGTAATGTGTATATGTAAGACCATTATTTCCTGTTTTTAAATCATTTTCCACTAAGTTTACTTTTGTACAGGGTATTCTCTATGGCAAAGCAATTACCTGACACTGAACAGACATGTCTAGATACATATATTTTACCTCTCTTTGGGTCTGCAGTTATGATAATGTGTAAAGAATTTTTGTTACATGTGGCTTAGTAGAAAGAAAAATTAATTCAAGCTTAGATCAATTAAATATGTGAGCTAGGAGCTATCATTAAGTTTTAATAAGGATAAGGCTAACTTTGAAAAATATTTAAATATCTCTCTATTTCATCTACATTCTGGTGACCCAGAGACAAGAGAGTGTCTTTATTTTACAATAGGTTTCTTGTAATGGCTAAGATGGAGAAGACTTTTTCAGCTGCTGTTTTCCATTGGAAAAATATTTTGAAAGCAGTGTGAGCTAGAAGCTGCCATTAAGTTTTAATAAGCAGTAAGCTAACTTT